GCTTTTCTGAACAAAGCTATCCAACCCTACTTTCTATGCTAGTTGCAGATGAAGAAATTAAGAATTTATTTATTTATTTATTTATTTATTTACTACGCTTATATACCGCAATTCTCAGCCTACTGGCGACTCAAGAATGCTGCCTTGTTCCATTCTTCTCTGAACTCTGTGCACTCACCTGTGCAAGATTCCTGAGGATCTCTTATATTATACAGTTAAAATACTATGATTTCATTTTAACAGCCATGGCTTCTTGCTATGCAACCCTGGGATTTGTAATGTTCTCATTTAGTAGGGACAGTTCTGATTAATCCTCCATTATACTACTTTTCTTGCTGGTTTTACATATTAGTCCTCCTCCTCCTGCATACCTTCTACTTCAACTGATGTAAACTAAGCCAAAGAAAGAAAGTAATTTGCACTTATTTAACTGAAAGAGGAGAGGCAGAACCTTGCTCTTTTCAGAAGGGTCAAGCAACAGCAAACAATGCAGTTTATAGTGTATATGTTTTTCCTAGTTTATATCTTTTTCCTCATTAAGAATTGTTGCCACCTTGACCACACTCTAATGTCATTTGCCACGTGTTCTAGATATCATCTGTGAAAAGTTGGATGATTTTGGGGGGTTAAGGAGGTACTTCTCTGCCAGAGAGCGCTAGTGTCTCACCAAACTGCAACTCCATGAATGCAGCCAGTGCAATCAAAATAGGATCATAGGGCTATAAGTGTCAAGTGTGAAAAGACACTAGCTGGTCAGCTCTAGGTTTTAGATAAAATAATATATTCAAGAATGGAGTAGGGTTCCCTATTAAAGAATCACCCATAATTTTCTCTGGGTTGTATTCACAATAACTTATTGATGTATGCCTTTAAAACATTTCTTGTTTTGCCCTGCCTTGGAGAGGCGGGTAACAAATTAAATGCTGTTGTAATCATCATCACCACCGCCATTATCATCAATATTTCTGACTTATGGAGTTCCTATGACAAACCTATCACAGGTTTTGTGTGACCGAGAGCGTGTGCCTCATCTAAGGTCACCTGGTGGATTTTCATGGCCAAGTGGAGAGTTGAACCTTGGTCCCCAGAGGCATAATCAAACAGGTATGCATTATTAACAGTTTTCTTGAATTGGCAGAATTGTTTCTGGCCTGCCCTACTTCAGGGAACAGGTGGAAAATGGTATTATTGAATGCTTCTCTATCACAGAAGCAAAGAAAGCTTGTGTTTCATGGAAAACAATGTCTTGAAAAATTGAGAAAATTGAAAAAATCCATGATTTATTTATGACAAAACTGTTTTGATAACAAACATGGCTTTTTTGCAGAAAAATGTGTGGGATTTTTTTGGTTGTAAAAAAACAGCATATTTTGGTGAGGAGAACAGGGCCTCTTGATCCAAAAACTGTGTTTTTTTGTGGGGGAAATGGTGGTTTGTACAAAAGGTGCTTCCCATAAATGCTTTACTTTTTACAAAAAGACCTGAAGTGTGAAAATGCACAGTGGGAAGAAAATGTTTGCAATTCTTAATTCTTGCATACAAGAATGGAACAAGCAATTATGTTCAAGCCTTACTCACTAAGTGTAAAGAAATCCTCCCACAAGGATGTGAAAATGGGCATGCGGACCAGGAGCACAGTTGTTAGCCATAGCAATAATAAAAGCATTACAACACCTTCTGCCTTTCATGAATATAAATTACTCCACACTAAGCACTCTGACAATAAAAGTGAAGTATAGATGATTTCAATGCAATCCGTTTAATATTTACTTGAGAGTAAGTCTTCTCAAATTCAGAGGGCTTGAGGAATGGGCAATGAAAGCTGGTGGCTTCCAGGTTTGTTGGGTGAGAAATCCATCCTGGGTTTTAGCTCGAACTTGAAAGATTATTCTGGACTATAGGGTTCGACACTTTGGACAGCCCCTCTGAAATCTTAGAGGCACAACTCAGTAGTAAACTTATCTAAGGCTGTGTGCCTTGGTGTATTTACAAGAGTGGCTGAACTAATTGTGAACCAGGGTGTTATACAGTAATAGGTTGTTAAATGATGAGTTAATAAACTCAGGGTTCATGTTGCCTGACATAATTGCTAGTGAAGTTACTCACAGGGCTAGAGTTAATTCAGAAGCCCACATTAGCAATGATGTGATGCCACTGAGTACCACTACCTCTATTTTCTTTGTTAAAAAATACTGTGTAAATGAGGTACAGGCCAACTAAACTAATCAAGATTATTCAACCAAAATCTGGGGTCAATATTTACTTAATGGAATTGCAAAGTAAATACAGATTAATGTTGAGCCTATTTTTCATTTCTTACTATAGAAAGGGCAGGAGAAAACGTAACTAATGTTTTGTTGTGTCAATCCATGAAATGTTTTGTTAATTAAACTGAAAGTTATCTTATACTTCTTTCATTGTATCAAATACACTATCCTTGTTAAGCTTTTGGTACTATGTTGATTTTTGTTAATAAATTGGTTAAACTTGTATAAAAGGCAGATTATTAATTAACTAAGCATTCTTTAATTGGTTGATAGTCTTAAAAGCAATGTTTCCTTTGGGCGTCTTCTGTGTTTGAGAGTTCTGCTTAACACATGCTTCATGCATGTCTTATATGAATCATCAATGGGCCTATCTTTGTGAGGTCTCTTTTGAAGTAATTTTAATGCATCCTGTAAATATAATATCTGATCTGCATATGATTGTGCATAGGGGAAGAAACATATTATTTTTAAACTTGCTCAGACCAACACCCTCACCAACTCTTTGTATCACAGGAAAGGGTAAACAACTGTTTCATATTCATATTTTCCAATACTCTCATATTTTATGTACTTTTGATGATTGTGCAGAAGATATCTAGAGCTTATTATGACTCATTCTGCCTTTGCAATGGAGGAGGGAAAGAGGGAGATGGTGGTAAAGAGTCCAAAAATTTCTGAGGCCTGGATACTGTTCTTTGATTCTTGTAAATATCCAATAAAATGTGCCTTCATTGAGCCAAATAGCTGGGAAGGCATCCAAAAGATTAAGATAATCAGAGGTTTAGATAAAGGAGAGTGCTGTGTACATAGGATTATACTGTTGTGGACAACAGATTTAGAAAAAGGGAGTGCACTCAAGAACAGCCTACAGGCATATGCACACAACCCAACTAGCATGTTGCACATGTGGAACTGGTTTGTTTGGGTAAACATTCATCGTGTCTTTAAGAATTTGTTTATTTGCTTTATTACATGCCAATGCATCAGGCTAATCAACAATCGGTAAGCAATAGCATCAACCGTCTTGACTTCTCCTCCAATGAGTTAGTAAATGCCAGCAAATGTGCAGTTGTCAAGGATGCCCTGTGAGTTCTTCAGCATATATCAAATGTTGCACAGATTGACCAATGTGCCTGTGTCCAGAGCAGTGGTTCTCAACCTGTGAGTCCCTAGATGTTTTGGCCTTCAACTCCCAGAAATCCCAACAGCTGGTAAACTGGCTGGGATTTCTGGGAGTTGTAGGCCAAACCACCTGGGGATCCACAAGTTGAAAACCACTGGTCTAGAGAGTTCTGCAAAGTTCAGAGTGGGTGATTAATTCACTCCCTTCCCATCTGGTCATCAGTGCTCAGACTGAACATTTGAATATGAGAGGCCTGCTAGATCAGACCAAGGATTTACCTGCAGTGACCAAGCAAATACCCCCAGAAATCTCCCAACTAAAGGGAATTAGCCTCTCTTTGCTGTTGCTGGCCCATACCAGTTAGTAGTGTACACTAAAAAGTGTGTCAGGCCACAATGTACATCACATATTTCAGTTGGCTTCCTTCTCTAAACTGGGAGCAAACTTTGAGATTAAGCACTTTCCCCTGTCCCAGAACAGCTTATTGTCTTGCTTTGCTGGTGTTAACTGTGGTTTCATCTGTCATGCTTACTTAAGCAAACTAAGGTTAACTCAAGTCATCATCCCTTCCAAATATGAGACTAAAAATAAACTAGACATGGTAATAGCAGATATGGATGTTACAATATTTCTGCCCTGCTCACACATAAAGAAAGTCAATATTTATAGCAGACTTGAATTGCTTGAATTACAATGGGCCTTGTACCACTTCTATCAGCCCTCTTAAATGTTGTTTTCAGAAGCCTTAAGGAAGCAATTGTTTAAAAGTGGAATTAATAAGCAGGAGATTTCATCGTAAGCCCCTACGCCTTTTTCTGATTCAAGCATTGTTTACCTCATTTTGCTTTGTCACCTCAGGCATTTTGCTTCACAAAATGGCAAAATGCCTCACCTTCTCACCACAGTACTACCCCAGGACCCTGACATGTTATCACAGTATCATGCAACTAGCATTGCTACAGCAGCACTCACAAATACATTGAGTTATATCAGAAGGCCTTCAATCAAACTTGTGTAATCAAACTGATAAGGGCATGTGAGATTGTGCTTCACTTAAGAAAAAGTTTGAATAATGTAGGAACATTGGCTTTAGTTATTGGCAAAAGATCTAAAGTTAATCAGTTTTACAAAATGAATTCTCTTCTGTTAGCTATACTGCATAATTGCAGATAAGAAACCCTGGATAAGCAGTGCCTATGCCAAACACAGGATCAAGGGCATATTTTTATACAAAATGAGAGCAGTCCAAATAGACCCAGTGCACAATACAGGTCAAATAACATATTAGGCAATGGGAGGAGGGGGCAAGAGTGTGGACAACAGCTAATGTGTTCATTTTTGGAACAAACCTAGGTCTTTGAATTATTAGATCCTATTGTTATCAATGCAAATAATGACTTGGCAATTTTCAGTGATTTCAAACATAGCATGCAATTCCCCCCACAACCCCCACAGTGTTCCTCCCCAGCCTCCCCCCAAATATTAGGTTTCTGCAATTAGCCTTTCAACTGAGGAATAACCAAAATGACATTGACAGAAGTAACCCAACTAAATAAAACAAAATTTAAGAAAAGCTGTAGCTAGACAAAATTCAGGAAAATATAAATTACCTTGGACTTTGATTGCTCGGATCAAAAAAGCACAGTCATTCTGTTTCATATAATGTTTTGTATCCAGCTAAGGTGTGTATCTATCAGCTCTGAAAAAGATTTGCAAAACCGTTTTTGAGAAAAAAGTGTAACCTTTGACCCTGTTATAAGGTCAAATGTTACAATACTTGGGTTTTTTTGTTTCACATTACATGATAAAACATGAATTATAGTCCTACGTATTGCTGGACTAACCAACCAGTATTTGGACAAAGATCTTGAGACAGCAGGAAGTACACCTGGAGTAACTTTCTTGAGTTTTGTGTTCCAGGCATTCTGAGTAATGAAGATATGGATGACTTACATATTAGCTCAGTGCTGAAGAACAGCCATGTCTTTTACTCTGAAAATAATATTCACAGTAATTTTACCAAATAACTGGTGGAAAATGTTAATGATTTTGAAAATATTTATTTGGTTTATAGATGAATATTTCAAAGCAAGTGATAGGTATCAACTATTTCATAAGGATATGTGTGATCTGCAAATGAACATGTAATTACTCTAAAGGTACCAGATGTTGTCTGATCTTGGAAGGCAAGTAAGGTCAGGATTTGATGGGGGATCAGCAAAAAATACCAGGTGCTGAAGACCATATTCAGAAGAAAGCAATGGAAAACCACCTTTGAATATTCCATGCCTAGGAAAATAATAGGAAATTCATGTGGTTGCCATGTTGATAGACAACTCGAAGGCACATACTTTTCTTCCTTTCCTAATCAGAAGTTTTTACAATATAGTGCCTTAAAGACTAGTCTCAATTTCTTAGATAGCAGGTATAAGCAGTGAACAACATAGCTTCAACACTGGCATTAATATTTATGCACATCTAGTATAACATATGTGCAATGTATCCAAGGTGTATTTCCTACACCAGTGCGCAACGACTTAAATCAAGAAATAGTTTTCTTAGATCTACAGAGACACTCGCTGGAACACCTCAGCAAGCGAGAGTTCAAAAGTGGCAGGCTCAAACCCAGCACCTCAATCCGTGGGTGATACCAGATGAGAGACTCCCCCCTGGGCACACAGAAGAGTGGGCGACTTGGAATGCAGAGCCAATCTTAAGAAATCTTGAGATGCAGAGCCAATCTTAAGAAATGGGGCTACAAAGTGGAATCCACGACATGCGAGTGTGGAGAAGAGCAAACCACTGACCACTTGCTGCAATGCAACCTGAGCTCTGCCACATGCACCATGGAGGACACCAGAGGCACTCCAAGTGGCCAGATACTGGTCAAAGGACATTTAATCAGCTACCAAATTTGCAAAAGTTGTGGGTTTTTTTAATCTGTTTGTTTTGTTCTGTTAGAAATGTAATATAATGTTCTGGTTACGGATGACACGATAAATAAAACCAGTGAGCAATCACTACCTGTTCCAGAAGTGAAACATGGAACATTAGGGCTTCAAATGAGGGCAATTTACACAAGTCTGCACTTTCGCACATCTATTTTTTTTAAATAAAGCCATTTTCCTGCCTCTACTAGTAAGGTTACAATATCCTCACAACTGCTGATAGACTGTTTACTTCCAGTGTAAAAATAAAATGATAAAAATGTGTTTCTTTCCGGTCAATGTCTCTGGAATTTGAGTCAGGAAATATCTGCATAAAACTAGACATTCCCCTTTGTTAATACCATAAAACACACATATATAGAAAGCACAGAAGTATATAATTATCAATTAAAAAGTCAACAGCAACTATGTTTTGTGTTTAAAAATCATGTAAAAGATGATCTCACAAAAATGTACTTCCTTCAAAATGCATTAAGAAAATCTCTATATCACCAGTACATAGCCTTTTGATTTTTCATCTTAGTCTGCATGAATGAGATCTGTCAAAAAAATAGCCCTATCATCCATGTTCTGAGTGCACACATATTTCTAAACCTTTCTCTTGCAGCAAGCCCTACACGCTGGTTAAGCCTGTATTAAAATCCTGCACCTGGATGTACTCATTCTCACTCACTGTATATTTGGGTGGGCAAGCATACTGCATGCAGCCTCCAAGACCACCCCTATTCTGGGGAAAAGGGAATGAAATGCCTCTCTTGGAAGTCTTCAGGAATGGTGATTCATGTTTTTAGTTGCAGCCCCCACTCGACTGGTTATTCCCCCCCCCCCAAATCCAGAACTAGACTTTCATCCAAGTCATTTAACTGATTTTTTGTCATTTTTGTGCATCTCCCACAGGATCTCTGAGCAGAAATATAGGCCTTATGTTGTCTAAAGTGCCTTCAAGTCACATGACAATATTTTGTGGTTTTCCCATGAGTTTCACAGGGTTTTCTCAGGTAAGAAATACAGGTGGTTTTGCCAGTTCCTTCCCTCCTCCTCCTCCTCCTTTTTTTTTTTGGACATCTTATGACATGAGAAGGAAGGAAAGAAAGACTACAGAAAAAGTTCTGAAATACACCAGTCTTTGCAAATATTCTCAACACATGGCCTCATGTTCAATTGCGTTTCACTCTTCCAGACAGACCTCATTAAAATTCCACTGTACTTATTTATACCAGAATTTGTGTTGACAGAAATGTTAAATGGAACTGTTTATAATTGCCCTCTTACATTGCTAATGTAATAATGCATTGCTGTATACAAAGACTTTTTGCTACTGCGGTTGTAATATTTTTCAATTTACAATTTCCAGACATCCTTTAGTTTGTAATACATGGACATCTTTAAAATGGGGGTACTAGTCATTGCCCAGAAATTGTAAATGACGCTGGGAAAAAATGTTCAAAGGTACACTAATTGATTCTTTCACTCTAGGAATCTTTTGCGGGTAGATACTATTTTCAGGCTCCATTATTTAACAGACTGCTTTAAAAGGCAAGTTTACCACTACAGATGTCAAAACTAGCAGAAAGTAACAGCACTCACATTCTTATACACTTTCATTTTATATTCTTTGGCCAGTACAAGATGCTGAACTAGACAGACTTTTGATCTGATCCCTAGGACTCCTGCCTTTTTGAAATACTCGCATTATCAATATTATTTCCACTGAATGCTATTTATCTGCATTATTGTTTTTATTGTACAGCCAGCTTGGTAGCTTAATGTGAAGAGCAGTATAGAAAATCTTAAGCAAATAAAATATATATATAAATAACTTCATTTTTTTCAAAAGCATGCATTATTAACAGAGGTTGCCCTGGAGTGTGTGTGTTTGCAAAAGCTACATTCACATTTTCCCCCAGTGAACATTTCAAAGATTGCAGTCCAATATTACTGATAGCCACCTCACCGATTTTATTTAGATGTGATCAAGGAATATGCTGACGGCTG